AAAGGCAGGGGAAGTGGCTGCTTCCCCTGCACCCCGCTAGCTACGCTACTGGGGGGGACGTGTGGCTGTGGGGGGATGTGTGGCTGGGTGCGGGGGACGTGTGGCTGTGGGGGGATGTGTGGCTGGGTGGGGGGGACGTGTGGCTGTGGGGGGATGTGTGGCTAGGTTGGGGGGGGGACGCGTGGCCGGATTAGCCTGGTGGACATGGCCGGGTGGCCCCCTGTCCCTGACAGCGCCCCCCGTCCCTGACAGCGCCCCCCCCCTTTGCCCCGCTCCAGAGCCGGGGGAGGCCGGCTCCCCCCCTGAAGACCTGCGCAGCCTCCACCCAGGGGCGCTGCTCTACTGGGCCGCTGGCCACCAGAACCTGCCCACCATGGCCGACGCCCTGGCCCATGGCGCCGACGTCAACTGGGTCAACACTGCCGAGGACAGCCGGACCCCCCTGCTGCAGGCCGTGGCTGCGGTAGGTGCAGGGAACGCGGTGGGGCTTAGCTGGCGGGGGTGTTAACACCTTGTGCCCCGGCTCACTCTGCCTCTCCCCGTTCCCAGAATTCCCTGCTGGCCTGCGAGTTTCTGCTGCAGAACGGAGCCAACGTCAACCAGGCGGACAGTGCCGGGCAGGGGCCCCTGCACCACGCCACCATCCTGGGCCACACTGGGTAGGTCAGGGGGGCTGAGGCCCACCCAATAGGTCAGGGGGGCTTGGGCCCACCCAGCCAGGATGGGTAATTCATGGGGGCTGCTGTTCCGCACCTGGCCACTAGATGGCGCAGTGGCACCAGCACAGACACACTGGTAGCACCCGCCACCCCTCGGGTGCCCCAGCGGCGAAGCTAAGTAGGACCGGTGCCGTATTCCCCACCTGGATGGGTGACCTTGCCCCTCCCCATCGCCCGCCTCTCACGGCTCTGCTCTCTGATAGGCTGGCCTGCCTGTTCCTCAAGCGGGGGGCCAATCTGAACGCGGTCGACATGGAGGGGAAGGACCCGCTCTCCATCGCCATAGACACGGCCAACGCTGATATCGTCACCCTGTAAGTCCCCCCCCCCCCCCCCGGGTTCCGGGGTGGTGGGGGTGGGCGATGCTGATGGAGGGGGAGGGGTGAAGCAGGGAGATGGGGGAGGGGAACTTGTCTCATTTTCTGCTCTTCCCACCTCCCTGCAGGCTGCGGCTGGCCAAGATGCGGGAGGCGGAGGTCGCGCAGGGACAGTCAGGTGGGTGTCTTGTCTTTGGGGCCCAGGGCTGGGCTAGCAGGGGGCTGTGGGGTGGGAGTGAGGGGCACCGGCAGGGCTGTGGGGGGGCAGGGGGCTGTGGGGTGGGACTGGGGGGCACCGGCAGAGCTGGGGGGGCAAGGCTGGGCTGGTAGGGGACTGTGGGTTGGGAGTGAGGGGCACCGGCAGGGCTGGGGGGGCAGGGGGCTGTAGGGCAGAGCTGGGGGGGCAGGGCTGGGCTGGTAGGGGGCTGGGGGGCGGGACTGGGGGGCACCTTGCCCCACTCCTACGCCCTTTGCCCTCCCAGGCGACGAGACCTACCTCGACATCTTCCGGGACTTCTCCCTGATGGCGTCCGACAATCCCGAGAAGTTGACCCGCCGAGACCTGAAACTCACCACCCTCTAGCGCCCCCCCTGGGGGGGCACCACCGTGCCACCGTGTGTGTGTGTGTGTGTGCGGCGGGGGGGGATCCCCTCCTGGGGATCCCCTCCCCCACCCCTGGCTCCTCCCCCTTCCCCGGCTGGGAGGGGCAGCGAAGCAGCAGGGATTTCTTCCCCCCCCCCTCCGCCGCCCCTGGGCTGCTTTCTTAATGACCATAATCCCCCCCATTCTTCTGCTGTGACTCTTGGATGGGGGCAATAGGGGATAGGGGCCAATCTCCCATCGCCCCCTCTTCTGCCCCCCATCACATGCCCCCAGATCGCCCCCTCATTATAAGGCAGGGGCTTATCCCTGCCCCCACCTCCATTATGGGGAGGGGCTTCTCCCTGGCCCCCCTTCTGGCCCCCAGATACCACCCCCCCCGTTTATAGGGCTAATCCCATATCCCCACCCATCCTATTTATTATTTCTATGGGACCATCCTCCCTGTTCGTTGTTTTAACCCCCCCCCATGTACATGCACATGGCTCCCCTCCTCCGGTTGAGGCATGGTGGGGGGACCCCGTCTTTGAATGGAGGGGAAGGGGGAGCAGCGGGAGATCTGGGCATCTGTACAAAGCTGGCATGCAATAAACAGACCAGGCTGCAATATCAACTTCTGCTTCCACCTCTGGGGCGGGGCAGCTGGTGACACAGGGACCCCTCGCCCGGCGCTGAGATGCAGCCACCTCTGGGGCGGGGCAGCGGATTACACGGGGATCCTGTAGCCACAGCAGTGCTAGTTTCGTCGCCTGTTTCTCCATCTCCCCACCAGGTGGCGGCGTTGACCCTAGTGGCTGGAGGGGGCAGCGTCTCACCCGCCCCACTGCTCCAACCCACCAGCCCCCACTCCCCTCCCAGAGCTGGGGAGAGATCCCAGGAGTCCTGGCTCCCAGCCCCCCTGCTCTAACCCACCAGCCCCCACTCCCCTCCCACGAGCTGGGGAGAGAACCCAGGAGTCCTGGCTCCCAGCCCCCCTGCTCTAACCCACCAGCCCCCACTCCCCTCCCACGAGCTGGGGAGAGAACCCAGGAGTCCTGGCTCCCAGCC